GAGTAGAGCGAAATGTATCGCTATTTAGAGTTTTATTTATTTTTATACTGTGTATTCTCCGTGTAAATTCGTGCACCGAACCGTGACGCCCGTAGGCTACCGTTTCGGTTCAATAGGAATACATGTACCGTTCCAGTACCCCTATACAACGCTGTCATTAAGTTGAAGTTATCACATTATAAAGTAGCCTACAGTCCTCGCTTCAGACCTGCTCACTCGCTGTTCGGTTTCATTACAGTGTGCTCCTCAGCACTGGAGCGCCCTCTGCTGTCCATAAGGTGCATCTGCACCAGCCATTTCAAACCCAGCCTCCAGTATTTGGGCCACGCCTCCTTATTTGCATACACTCCTCAATCCTCAAATGCCCAATCCTAAATGGCTAAATGATTAAATGCCCAATCCTAAATCCCTAAATGCCCAATCCTAAATCCTAAATGGCTAAATGACCAAATACCCATTCCTAAATACGAAATGCCCAATCCTAAATACCAAATGCCCAATCCTAAATACCAAATTCATTTTCGACTTAGACTTTTAGTTTCAAACTTAGACTTTTGGTTTTCATTTAAGACTTTTAGTTTTAGACTTTTAGTTTTCAATCTGACCCAATAATCCCTCCATAGTCATCATGAGATCTCTGATAAAAATAAACTTGTCAGGACTCAGAAAGCCGTGTTCTGTCAAAATCGTATAATAATTGTTAAATATTTCCTCTTGACGTGCCTATATCTCACTAAATTGATCGAATGTTGATTTGATTGTAAGTAATGCGTGGATAGTGGTAGACGCGTTTATAAATGCCACCATTAAGAGTGAAATACGAGTTAACATTGTTAAATATAACAGAATCACAGTCGCGTTGCATACAATATTTTAATGTGTGTGTGTCCTCTGAAATTTAGTTCGGAACAGATGCAAAGAATGCTGGAAACGGACTGCAAAGTTTATATAAACAACTTTCAGAATCTAAAATTGCATTGGATTTATTCGGATTTGAGGAATATCAGTGCATGTAAACATTCCCATAAAACAGTCATCTTTTACTCACCCTCGTGCCGTTTATGAAAGAAGTCTCTTTTGCTCGTTATGTGATCAAACAATTACAGGGAAAACAGTATGACTGTGAATAATTATTACAAATAGATGTTTTCGATGTGAATGTAATGTATTCCTGTGATTAAAGCTGAATTCCCAGCATCATTACTCCAGTCTTCAGTGTCACATGATCCTTCAGAAATCATTCTAATATGATGATTTGATGCTCAAGAAATATTTCTTACTATTATCAATATGTTGCCAGTTTTTCTGCTTGATAAAACCGTAATATGTATTTTGCAATAATACTTAAGGGTTCTTTGATGAATAGAAAGTTCAAAAGAACAGTATTTATTTGGAAATAGAATTATTTTGTAACATTATAAATGTTTTTACCGTCACTTTTAGTCTTTTTAAAAACCTTATTTACCCCAAATCTTTGAATGGTAGAGTTTCACAGTGACTCGCTATATAGTTATAATGGCCTATTGCGAGAGGACAGGAGGGGCTGCTAAAATCCAGATCTTAAGAAAACTGAATCATCTGTGTTCATGCCTCAGTCATCATCATGTGAACAAAGAAAAGATTTAATGAACATGACTCACGTTCTTCTACATGTTGAGTTCAAACTGAAGCAAGTCTGAACTTCACACACACACCACTCAAACCATGAGAATCAAGCTTCTGAAACACTGGGGTCGTCTCGGTCAGAACTTTATAGCAAGTAGATTTGTCATTTTTGGGTGAACTATCCCTTTAATGCTTATAATGGAATACAAACTCTGAAAAATGTATGAATTATTAATAATAGTGCCATCTAATCTCCTGCATAAACACTCACTCACCATTTAAACACAATTTTCCTCCAGCTTCAGAAAATGGTTTGCTTGTGAACTAAAGGCCTCATACACCACCGGCCAAAAAACAAAACAAAAACTAATAATAATAATAAAAGTCTCTGTTTGGATTTAAATAGGCAAATGCTTAAGAGTCTATGATTGGATCATTATTGCAGTGATTATGTTTCTATCATGTTATATGTTTGGTAACAGTTCTTCTAACTCTAATTGATGGAGTGTGTAGCTTTTCATTTCTTAAACAACCATGTATGAAAACACATCATGACCATATTCGAGGATGGCATCACAGCATTTATTTCCATCAATTTTATGGTCCAGATCTTGTATTGCCAATGCAAGAGTCCAGCACTCTGTAAAGTCTCCTCCAGCACATCCCCAAAGACTCTCAACGAATTTAAGCTCTGGACTCGTGTGTAAATTCATGTGTGAAAATGATTCTTCATTCTCTTTCACAATCTGAGCCTGATGAATCTTGACATGGTCATCCTGGAATATGATCATGATGTGTTTTCCTAGATGTTTTTTTAAGAAATTAAAAGCTACACACTCCATTAGGGTTAGAAGAACTGTTCCCAAACATATAACATGATAGAAACATAATAATCACTGCAATAATGATCTAATCATAGACTCTTAAAGGGTTAGTTCATCCAAAAATGAAAATTCTGTCAGCAATTACTCTCCCTCATGTTGCTCCAACCCCGTAAGACGTTCGTTCATCTTCAGAACACTAATATATTTTTGATTAAATCTGAGAGCTGTCTCACTCCTCCATAGGCTTCTTAAGGGATTGAAACTGGCCGGCCCAAAAGTTATGAAAGACATCGTTAAAATAGTCCGAGTGACGACAGTGGCTCAACCTTAAGTTTATCAAGCGACGAGAATACTTTTTGTGCGCAAAAAAACAAACAAAAATAACGACTTTATTCAACTATTCATTTCCTTCTCTGTGGGCCTCGAGTGAGTTCACGTAGTGAAACTACGCAAACTTCTAGGTTGTACAACGTGAAATCTCGAGGCCCACAGAGAAGGAAATGAATAGTTGAATAAAGTCGTTATTTTTGTGTTTTTTTTGCGCACAAAAAGTATTCTCGTCGCTTGATAAACTTAAGGTTGAGCCACTGTAGTCACTCGGACTATTTTAACGATGTCTTTCATAACTTTTGGGCCGGCCAGTTTCGATCCCTTAAAGCTACACTGTGTAACTTTTTTAGTTTATTCTTAGCTAAAATATATGTGCTCATTAATGTATATTTACTTCGTTCAAGTAACAAAGTATTCTCGTGAGTATATAATATGCCATTGAAAACACATACGGGTAAGGGGTTCTAATGTCGGTCGCCATGTTGCCCCTCCATCTTGAAAGTACATTAGCCAAAGAGGGACATACCCGTTAATTCAAGCTTCGCCTTTCGCGTTTTAACACTCGATGGCACCGTGTCGAATGTCATATAAATAACCTATATGTTACCTGACAAATTAAATTACTGCAAATTATAATAGTTTTCTAAAATAAAGGAAGGAACACTCATGGACGAGGTCGAACTGGAAGCCATGTTAATCTTGGACTACATTGGCCACCGTAGGAGTTAAAACGAAATCGGAATTGAGAGGAACAGAAACTAATATTCACTGGATGGTCATATACCTTTACACCGCTAGATGGGGGTAAAAATCACACAGTGTAGCTTTAAGAAGCCTATGAGGAGTGATCCAGCTCTCAGACTTAATCAAAAATATCTTAATTTGTGTTCCGAAGATGAACGAACGTCTTACGGGGTTGAACAACATGAGGGAGAGTAATTACTGACAGAGTTTTCATTTTGGGGTGAACTAACCCTTTAAGCATTTGCCTATTTAAATCCAAACAGAGGCGTTTCTCTTTTGGCCAGGAAGTGTATTTTAGGATTATATGTAATTCGGCACATGAACAAACCGGCAGTGATTCTCCCAGATCTGAAAGGTGAAGTGTGTTAAACACATTTGAACCCATTGTTGCAACCTTCTGTTGGTCAACATACAGAAAAGAGTCATTACTGTGACACTTGTGGGCTCAAGTGTAGAAAATCTGACACCGAAACAACTTTTCCAAACTAAAATCAGCAGAGTTTTGGGTAACGGAAGTTTTTAATATCCGTCAAAGAAAATACTACTAATAAAAAAAACAAAAAACATTTGATCACAAATGATGGGCTCTAATTGGTCACACAAAGACACGGTTGTACGGCCATCGCTGGAACCGTAGCATCAGGAAACCGTGCTGAAGAACACATGGAATGAATGGACAACAGAAAAAAACTTTCAAATTAAAATAATAATAATAATAATAATATTACAAAACAAACAGGCTGTTGGTCCAAGTCAAAATCTGGACATTGTCATTGTTGACGTTTTAAAACATTCATCATAAAAACAAAGTCGAGTGGTCATATTTGGACCCTATTAAATAACAATGGATTGTTTGACGTGGAAAATAAATCACGCTGAAATGCGTTTCTGCATTCAATTTTACTGGAGTGAAAAGTGACGTGAACCAAACAGTGCTAAAATCTGCTTCCTGTGCTATTCTACGACTTCCTGCGGTGATTGGCTTCAGACTTCGAGTGTCTGTTGTACCATCAGAACATCCAGACGCATCGAACATTCACACACGCAATGCCATTCAAACGCTTCGAGTCCGTGTTCGGCGCTCCACACAGCCGGGAGAAAGGAAAAGAAAGGTGTTTGTGAGAACGGGAAGACTGCGCTGATGAAAGACAAGTGCACACGTGCAGGATCCTGAGTGCATGCTGTCCGTGGGTCATGTGACGGGTCATGTGACGCGAGTAAAGGGTCTGAGATCTGACGCGCTCTTTTCATCATCAGAGATATTAGCACAATTTACAGACAAAGTCTTGATATATTCCATGAGATAGTTAGCTTTTATAACATTTAGAAGTATAACAAGGGGAAGCCATATAAACAAACGGTCAACAGGAGGTTCTTCAGTGGCAGCGGCGACGCGGAAGCGTTCGAATTCAATTTTTCGCTCTTTTTATTGTATTTTTTTTTTGTTTTTTTGCTCGTTGTTTCCGGCCGTTCACCTTTAGATCCAGGCGTGGCTCCGCGAGAGTGAGCGCGTCCATGAGCGCCGGAGAGCGTCTCTAGGAGCGGGAGGAGGTCATGGTTTGGTGGTTTATTAGAGTCGTGTCTGAGCCTCGGGGACGTAGATCTCGATGCTTTCGGCGCTCTCGGTGGCGGAGTTCTGCCGCTCGGAAACGGCACGTTTGGCCGCCATTAAACGCTTTCTGGCCTCCTGACGCTGTTTATCGGCCACAGAGTCCAGGCTCTTCTCCTTCCCGCCGCTGGGCTTGATCTTTACAGTCTTCTTTGGTGTGTGGGCTGGAGCAGGCTTCTTCTCCTCCTGAGGAGATCATTCAACAATTCAAATAGGATCATCATTTAGGATTATCATTTTTTTTAAACCATTACAATAATTATTATATAATAAAATAAAAATTCATAATTCATATTAAATATTATCCTGCAACCTCAGTTACACCAGAAAAACATTATATATATATATATATATATATATATATATATATATTTATTTATATATATATGACCTGAGTTTTGCAATAACAGTCATATTTAATCCTTATTTTACCTATTTATTAATAAACTAATACAAATAATAAAATAAGTATTAAATCATTAATATTAATTAGCACTATTAAAATACACTACACTCTTTTCAATATTACATTTATTTAAAATATATATATATATATATATATATATATATACTAAATATTTATTTATTTATAAATTCAAACAATATAAATGAAATGAAGCAAAGATTATGAATTTAAGTAAAACAGAATATAAATGAAATATTAAGCAAATAATGATAATGAAGTTGAAAAATTGAAAAAATATATTTGATTATTAACATTCATTTTAAATATTAAAATACACTATGCTAGCTCATAACGTTAAAATAAAAATTACATTTACTTAAAATAAAGCAAATATAAAATACGTTTATAAGATAAACGTTACATTTTAAATGATTTAAAAATTAATAAATAAATATAGAATAGAAAACAAGTGATTTATAAAATACATGTAGAATAAAAAACAGTGGAATAAATTAATAATGTGCAGTATACTAAATATATGTCTAAAATAATAATAAAATCAACTATCAAATAAACATTAAATATTAATTATTAACATATAAATACATCATTACACTTACTCCATTTGCACTAGATATTACTAATTATGCCGGCTGTTTTTTACAAGTAGCATCTGACGCGCTATTTTCATCACATGACCTTATTACGAGGATGGGCGGCTCCAACAAGGGAGCGGTTCTAGATCTAAACACTGAAGTATAACCAGAAACCAGAACTTCATTCTACCTTCACATTGGTTAAACAAGCAAAAGGAAGCGTTAGGATGTTGGAAAGGTACATGAGTTGGACCTTTTTGTCCTGGGTCTCAGACATCTTCCAGTCGTTGGACCTGAGGAGGTGGAGCTCGTCGAACTTCATGCTGATGTCCTCGATGGACAGCTGGAGGAGATCCCAGAACCCGGCCAGATCCTGCGCGGTGGGTCGCGGCTGAGCGTTCACATCCTGACGGAAACACACACATCACACACTCGTTTCATAATTCACTTTTAAATACTTACAAGAAACTGGAAGAGAACATCTGTCCACTTCAGGTCCATCAAATCGGTTTTGGTCTCAAAATGACACATTTTCAATATGATTCTGTTTCTGAAACGGCTTACTAGGGCTGTCACTTTTGTGAAAAAATCCTGTTCGATTTTTGAGTCATAAGTGTTCATTGAATCGATTGTAAAATCGATTTTCCATGTCTAAAGATGTTTCCATTTTCAACACCAAATATAGGCAAATCCACGGACACCTAACAGGCATTAGGATGAGCGTAAAGAGGGCTTGAGCCAGCAATATTCCTGATGATTTATTGGCGTGAAGTTTCGTGCACAATGACAAACAGGAGCGCAACATTCAGGGATTGAGATCAACACCCTCGACCCACCAGATGCAGGTAAAATTGAACCTTGGCGGGAAACGCTGTCAAATCACGAGCCAATCTGGCGTGTTTCTGTGTTTACTCACTTTGCTGGGGAAGTTCGTGTAAGACAAATCTGCGCGGATTTAGTCCAAATACACAACTCGTGAGTCCTCATGATATATTAAATACAGCGTATTGCACAGAATCTGCGCATTTCTGGCTTACTTGAACACACACGTCTCTGAGCAACAAATAACGGCGCGCTTGTTCACTTGCACTGAAGCAATAGTGAAGATTAAAAAGCATTTGGTGAACAGAAAAGACTGTTATTTTCCAACATCCTCATTTTTGTTAAAGTTCTTTGTACTGTAATAATCTGTCCAACTAAAACACATTTTTGGTGAAAAGGATGAGAAGGATGGCAGGATTTTGTTTGAATAAGAATTGTATTATATATATATATATATATATATATATAGTGATGTAGTTAAACCGGTGGGGGGGCCAGTAACCTAAAAATTTAGTAGCCAAAGTTAATTTCAGACCCTGTGTGTAACGGTACACACACGCCAGCAGAGGGCGCTTCTAAAGCATGATATCATCTCTGTGAGTCACATGACTGGCTCTAGGTTGAGATCAGCACTCCTGCTGTATTTCCAAGTCAAAGAAAGTATAAAGCAGGAGAGAAGAATGGCGGGACTAGATTTGATCCAACAGATTGGAAGTAACACAACAAGCAAGATCTTATTGGATGGTATTTGTCCTCATCCTGCAGCCTCAGTTACATCAGCATAAAAAAGCCACAATAAGATATTATTGATGATTTTAAACATTTTGTGATGTGCCATGTATTGCAGTAACACAAATTGTGATTCATATTGCGATTTATTACCTTTAATTTAACTGTAAATCCCCCCAAAAGACAAACTCTGTCCACATATACTTATGTAATAGGATCAAGTTCTCAGTCTGTTCATTTCAAATCTTCACATAAATCTTTCATATACCGTATGTATATATATATATATATATATATATATATATATATATATATATATATATATATATATATATATATACACACACACACACACAATCATTAAATATTAATTTAATAAATAAATAGTGAAATAATGATAATATATTTATATAATATAGGTAAAAAAAATAACATGACAATAAAAAGATACATTTATATATACACACACATTTTATGCTTTAACAAAATAAAATGAATAATTATTACATTTAAATTAATTTAATAAAAATAAATAAGTTAAATTAAATCATTTAAATTAATTCAAAATAAAAAATGTATAATTACTTATAAAATTATAGTTAAAAAACAACAACACATTAATATATATACACACACACACGGGAACACACACATATATATATATAGTTACTTTTATCATTTTATATTTTTGTATGACCATTAAGATTTGCATTGTGAAATTTTCACAACAATTATGTAATTTAAGTAGAAACAATAATTTGTAATCCTTCAATTACAGTTATATATATATATATATATATTAGGGGTGGAACGGTACACAGAAGTCACGGTTCGGTTCATACCTCGGTTCAGACATCACGGTTCGATACGATTTCGGTACAATGGAGTGAATAGCAAAACAAAAATGCAGAAGGCTTTTTTATAAATGTCTTAAGCCTTGTATTTTTTTTATATAAGTTTTATTAATAAAGGCATAGAACCAGTTTATTTGTAGTGCACTGACAGTCGTTTTATATAATTAGTTTATTAATTAAATTATTAAAAAGACGAAAAGACCATGAGATATGTTTGGTAAATGTACCTGAAAGAATTTAAAATTAATTTGCTATTTCAGATCAATATATTTGTTTTCCTTCATTTTAATTAACCCTAACTTTATTCTCATCTGAATTATAAATAATTGATTTCCGTATAAAATACTACCATTAAAAACTTTTGTTAACAGTTGTAGGTTACAGTTTGACATGTTTAGAGTGTGACAAAATCACAATGTTGTGTTTTATTGCGAGTGTACACAAATATAAGTAACAATTTGCAGTTTTAATGATGTCCTCTATGAAAAAAATGACGGAGTATGTTTTTATGTTTCCACTGTTCGATCGCCCGTGCCTCTCACACACACACACACACACACACAATGTTCGATCGCGCGATTCGCGCCCGCGCCTCTCTCTCTCTCTCTCTCTCTCGCACGCGCACGCACACACTCTGTTCGTTCGCGCCCGCGCCTCTCTCTCTCTCTCTCGCACACACACACACACACTGTTCGATCGCGCGATTCGCACCCGCGCCTCTGTCTCTCTCTCTCTCGCACACACACACACACACACACACACACACACACTCCAGCATTGGAATCTTGATCGCAGTCTGTTCATTGCTGCGTTCACAGTCACACCAAAAGCGAATAGAGCGAAATTTATCGCTATTTAAGAGTTTTTTTTTATTTGTACCGTGTATTCTCCGTGCAAATTCGTGCACCGAACCGTGACGCCCGTACCGTTTCGGTTCAATACGAATACATGTACCGTTCCACCCCTAATATATATATATATACATACTACATTACAATAATCAGAATCGCTATAAAGAAAAAAATAATGAGGAAAAACATGTGGGGGAATTACAGGAATTGAGAGGCATAATTGTGATAGTTATTTTTTGCTTTCTGACGTTTTTTCTTTTAAGACTTCTGCTTTTTTATTTCTTATTTTTTTTTATTTTAGGGTGAGATATAAGGTGTACATGGACTCTGTAAGGGCTCGACTCTCAGGATACTCACCAGGTTCTGCTCACAAAGGCCCCGAAACTGCTTGAACTTCTGAGACATCAAGAGCTGAGCGCAGCCGACGGCACTGCGGACCTCTCCCAACACTACAGGAACACACACACACACACACACACACTCTTCGTAAGCCTGCTTCTATTAGAGCTGGGCAAAAAAATATCCATTTTAATCGATTCTCATTTTTATGAACCGATATCGGATAAATCGCAATAGCTTTGTTTCTTTTGATATGAAACAAAGTCTCAGATTTTAAATTCTGTCCATTTTGTTGCTCTTTACTGTGGCATGAGAGATCGCTGTAGTGCCTCCGATCAAGCAGCCGATCATCTCTTCAGCTTTACTACTAGTTATAGCATCAAATACACATGAATGAACATCAGAAGTTGTGTTGAAAGATGCAGTACAGCTTATTGAAATCCGTCTCATATCTCATGTAATCACTCACTCAGTGTTTTAACCGGGGAAAGACGTCAATAAAACAGCTTGTAAACAGTGTCACGTACATAGTATGAATGTAATGTTACATTTACCTCAACAAACCCATTCAATGACCATAAACTCATTAGTGAGATAATAACACATTAACTCTAGAGAGAAGCATTTTGATAAATATATGCACACAGTACATATTCATTATATTTATTTTAATTGTTCCTCAATGTTTAATTGACCATTTTTAATGAACTAAAGTTTTTATGAAAGCCCTAATGTAAATGTTTTTAGGGATGAACCGATGTGAAAATCATCCGATACCGATAATAACTCTTTATATTTATAAGCCGATAATCGGTACTGTAGGCCGATAAATCTTAATCCAAATTTTTATATATATTTTTGAGGGCTTGATTACATAAAAAAAAGTCTCACAATTAAAATCCATGTCCCAAGGACACAATTATGATGTTTATATTATAATGTTGTCGCCAATATGACAGACTTGTGCTGCACATTAGATTTATTTTAAATGTGAATTATTGAATATCTATTTATTGATTCCTTTAAGCCGTTGAACATTTTAGATGCGTATTATTGAATATATATCTATCTATTGATTCCTTAAGGTGTCGAATTGATAATTTTATGCCACTATTTGCTGTGTTATTGTTGTTGTTTTTTCTTTGTTTGTTTTTTTAATCTATGTTTGTTGTGGTTATGTTTATTGTGGTTCCCATGAGTGTAAAACAAATTCCCCTGGGGGCAATAAAGGTTTCATTCATTCACACATTCACATGTTGCACTTTACTGTATTTTCCCCTTTTTGAGGCGATTCAAATCATATTTCAAGTAATTCAAAACCATCATGGCGAACCGTGCGCATCTGAAGGATATAATCCATTATTAATCTGCTTTAATATATCGTCCAAATTTTCTTATCGGCCGATAACATTAGTTTTTTTTTTTACATATATCGGCCGATACCGATATGGTGGCGATATATAGTGCATCCCTAATGTTTTTATTTCAAAAAATGAATTGGAGTAGAAACATAATTATGCCATTATAAAGTTAGTATCATAACTTTATTAATTTATACAAATCAGTTAGTTTTACAGCATTAGTTGAGAGATCTTTTTCCTCAAGAAAATTTGCCATGTACTGTACCTGATATATATATATATCCAAATTAATCTATATCGAATCGAACTGTAAGCTTGTGAATCGAAATCAAACCGAATCGTGTCAATACCGAGCCCTACTATCTCTATGTTGACAGCGTGCCGTCAATCAAACCACACAGACAGCAGAAACATTGATTCATTACGTTAGCATCTGCCTGCTGTGGAGGAGTGAGAAACACACCATCACTTCTGCATTATCATGTCACAGAAGCTGCCATTGCTCTCTCTCTCTCTCTCTCTCTCTGCCAGGTTCAAACCTAATGACTTTAATCACAGGCTCGAGGAGCCAAAATTAGCAGGCAACAGAGAGCCGTTCCTGATTAAAGCTCATTAATGAGGCCGCACGTTTAGAGAGAGAGTGATATCATCCTTTACTCGCGGATCCGCGGGGTGTTTGATGGCGTCTGTAAAGGGAAGCTCCTGAGATCCGAGGGCCAGAACATCGAGATAAACCCGCTGCAATTACCAGCAGCTTCCTGCACATTTATATCAGTAGTAATGGCACTGACAATACTCTATAAAAGTCTGAATTAAGATTTAGTAAGTCTGAAATCAGGTTCCGTTAAATATGGTAACAAAGGGCCATTTAAGGTAATTATTCACATCGGCTTCATCAGGGTGACATTCTTCTTAAACGCAATGACAGTTTCCAACAAAGCCATTCTAGTTATTTTGTTTTATTATTTAAAATTGAGCATATATATATATATTTATAAAATGTAAAAAATAAGAATGTTTGTGGTGTTATATATATATATATATATATATATATATATATATATATATATATATATATATATATATATATATATATATATATATATATATATAAAAACACCACAAACATTCTTATTTTTTACATTTTATAAATAAATCTAAATATTAAATTATATATATATATATATATATATATATATATATATATATATATATATATATATATATATATATATATATATAAAATAGCAAACACACAGATATATAATTATTTTATAAAAAAAAGATAAGTAATAAATTACACTTAATTTATTTTATGTATAATATATTTTTATAATTAATTTTATTGTTATGTACAATTATAATTTATCATATGTATACTATATTATAGCAATAAAATAAACAATTTTAATAATAATATATTTTTTTATTGATTTATTTTTAGAAATATTTGTAAAAAACAAAATAGGGTAAAACTTGATTAGCCATCGGGTATTGATTATATATTAAAATGAAGTTGATTATTTATTCAAATCAATAATATTAATTATTATCAATTACTTTTTTAATAACTGAATACATTTTTTAACTGAACAATTCAACTGAAACTAGTTAAATATTTGAAATTAAACTCAAATTAAATTAAATGATTTTATCCACCAGGAATTGGTTGGAATAATGAAATTAAGTCAGTTATTTTTATTATTAATTAGTTGAGTAATTAGATTTTTGACTAACAGAAAAATCAACCTGAAATGAATTACATATTTGAATAAACAGAGCAATTCCAATAGGCTCCTCACACCACTGGTGCTCGGGCCCTAATAACCCAATTGAAGTGAATTAACTTAATTTGGTTTTATCCATCAGGAATTGCTTGATTAAAGGGATAGTTCACCCAAAAATTATTTTCCGTCTGCCGGCAGCTAGTTATTTTAGTCGATAAAGTTTTAAATATGGATATTTCTCTTACACGAACGCATTGCTTCACTTCAGAAGGCCTTTGTTAACCCCCGGGAGTCGTTTCGAGCACTTTTATCATCGATGGATGCGCTTCGATCGACTTCCAAAAACAAAAACCCATTCACTCCCATTATAAAGCTTGGAAGAGCCAGAACATTTCTTAATATAACTCCGATTGTATTCGTCTGAAAGAAGAAGAATGTCATATACACCTAGGATGGCTTCAGAGTGAGTAAATTATGGGCTAATTTTCATTTTTGGGTGAACTCTCCCTTTAATGAAACCTTGTCAGTTGTGTGTGGAGCGAGCATCTCACCCTCCTCTGACAGCTGTCTGTCTTTGGTCTCGAGGTCCATCTGTCGACACCAGGCCTCCATGCGGTCCGTCTCGGCCTGGAGAAGCTTCTGGAAGCAGCGCCCGTCCCTGAGGCCCGCCGCCCCCCCGGGCTGCTCCGCGGACCCGTTCACGCTCCCCGTCCCGGCCTGCAGAGAGGGGTCCGGCGGGGGGAGGGAGGACGGGTCCAGCGCCGGGTCCAGCTTCTCCAGAGACCGGCTGGCCGTCTGGCGCTCCGAGGGTTTACCGTCGTTCTGCTCCTGGGATTCGGCCTCCGTCGTCTCCTGTCTCGACGCCATGCTCGTGAAGCGACTGAGTCTAGACACACACAGAGAGAGAAGAGACACTGAGCAACACCGACAGCAGTTCAACACGAGGTCCACACGGGGCTCTACTGGATATCTACATTAGTTTCCATTATGAATCCATTATGTAAAAATCAATAAGCTGGAAGACTGTTTGAAAGTACTTGGGCAAAAAAAAAAAAAAGAAAGATATATATATATATATTAGGGGTGGAGCCGAACCCGAATACGGTATTCGGAAAGGCACAAATAACGTGTTTTTTACGAATACTTATTTCGAACAAATACTTTAAAAATATTTGTATTCGGGAACAAGAAAAACTTTATATCAAAAAGCTGCGTTTCCTCGTGAGACCGCACTGCAGTGCATGCCCGTTAGAGTGAGTGTGTGATGTTCAGGAAGAGGTGACTGACACAGGCTGCTCCACACAGCAACAGAGAGGGCTCGGCCGAGCGAAAAACACTTAACTGCATCACTATTTTTGTTGAATAGATTTTTGTACCTTAACTGGGTTCCGGAGGCATTTTATAACTTTCGGGAAGCGAACTTGACGCGGCGCGGGACTAGATCCAATCGCCGAGCGCGGGCGCGGGCGGTAATGCACTCTCTGTGTGCGGGTTGCGGGAGAATAAAACGATTCGCGGGACTCCCACAAACTAGAAATATCTATGAATAAAACATATAAAGACTAATAGATTTGTATTCATCTGTTGCAGAAAAGCAACAAGAACAACTAAAACAAAATAGAAACGATTTACAGGCCAGAGTTTCTATTCATAACATTTTTGCAGCGTTGAGCGATGAAGCCAATCACAGACATATATGTGTTGATTTCTTGAACGCAATTGGCCAATCAGAAGCATTTACGATGGACTCCCCTCACCGCTCAAAACTGACTTTTTGTTCAGTGCTGAATTAGGCTGGTACATCCTAATTATAACAAACAAAGTGTGGATATTATGAAAGATTCATTGATAATAACAGAGATGTGTGAGATCGCGATGAACTGTCAGCTTTTTAGGGATTATTAAGGGAGCGCACTTTGAGCGCATTCAGTCATGCCAAACCATGCACGCAGTAGCTGCTTACTTTTATGTTAAATTAACAGTGGTTTGTGTGTTAATGCTTTAATAAAAAATAATTTATCATAGGGTAGGGTCAGGTTTTGTTTACATCCATTTTATTTATTGTTTTTGGTATTTATTCAAGTGCATTTTTTGTTAACAGAGACTGAGAGTACATTGCTTTTATTGTTTTTGGTTGTTTTGTTCATTTATTGTGGATATTTAAAATGTTTTCCATTTTCAGTGTTAAATAGTCTTTAGAAATAAAAGTTTTTTGATCTTTGAAAAGGTGTAGGCCTACCTGCATTATTATGCCATTTTCATTATTTTAGATGTAAATGGTCTCAGAACGACAATATTCTTTCTTGGTCCTCCACCAGCCAAAAAAACTTGCTCAAGTTCTGTGTGGAAGCATTTTATTATATCATATTGTTATTATCTTTTCAATGACGTTCTTTGTTACATGTTCATTGCTGGATATGTTCATTGGAATGGATATAATTAAAGAATACTAAGTATTCTTAGTATAAATATATAATGTAAGTCTTACACTATAACGTAAATTAGAAGTGTAACGAAAAAAAAAAGTAATTTTACGCCTATTTGGAATTTTACTCGAATACAAATACAAATACAAATACTTTTCCCCCCTCAACAAATACAAATACAGATACAAATACCGGCTGCTTTGCACACCCCTAATATATATATATATATATATACACACACACACAGTTTAATGAGTACCTTTTAGTTATATAATTGTGTATATATATATATATATATACACACACACTCACCTAAAGGATTATTAGGAACACCTGTTCAATTTCTCATTAATGCAATTATCTAATCAACCAACCACATGGCAGTTCCTTCAATGCATTTAGGGGTGTGGTCCTGGTCAAGACAATCTCCTCAACTCCAAACTGAATGTCAGAATGGGAAAGAAAGGTGATTTAAGCAATTTTGAGCGTGGCATGGTTGTTGGGGCCAGACGGGCCGGTCTGAGTATTTCACAATCTGCTCAGTTACTGGGATTTTCACGCACAACCATTTCTAGGGTTTACAAAGAATGGTGTGAAAAAGAAAAAACATCCAGTATACGGCAGTCCTGTGGGCGAAAATGCCTTGTTGATGCTAGAGGTCAGAGGAGAATGGGCCGACTGATTCAAGCTGATAGAAGAGCAACTTTGACTGAAATAACCACTCGTTACAACCGAGGTATGCAGCAAAGCATTTGTGAAGCCACAACACGCACAACCTTGAGGCGGATGGGCTACAACAGCAGAAGACCCCACCGGGTACCACTCATCTCCACTACAAATAGGAAAAAGAGGCTACAATTTGCAAGAGCTCACCAAAATTGGACAGTTGAAGACTGGAAAAATGTTGCTTGGTCTGATGAGTCTCGATTTCTGTTGAGACATTCAGATGGTAGAGTCAGAATTTGCCGTAAACAGAATGAGAACATGGATCCATCATGCCTTGTTACCACTGTGCAGGCTGGTGGTGGTGGTGTAATGGTGTGGGGGATGTTTTCTTGGCACACTTTAGGCCCCTTAGTGCCAATTGGTCATCGTTTAAATGCCACGGCCTACCTGAGCATTGTTTTTGACCATGTCCATCCCTTTATGGCCACCATGTACCCATCCTCTGATGGCTACTTCCAGCAGGATAATGCACCATGTCACAAAGCTCGAATCATTTCAAATTGGTTTCTTGAACATGACAATGAGTTCACTGTACTAAAATGGCCCCCACAGTCACCAGATCTCAACCCAATAGAGCATCTTTGGGATGTGGTGGAACGGGAGCTTCGTGCCCTGGATGTGCATCCCACAAATCTCCATCAACTGCAAGATGCTATCCTATCAATATGGGCCAACATTTCTAAAGAATGCTTTCAGCACCTTGTTGAATCAATGCCACGTAGAATTAAGGCAGTTCTGAAGGCGAAAGGGGGTCAAACACAGTATTAGTATGGTGTTCCTAATAATCCTTTAGGTGAGTGTATATATATATATATATATATTACACACATGCTCGTGTGTGTATATATATATATAGTTTTTTTGTTTGTTTCATTTTATTGATATTATTATTAAAATGTGTGCCATCTTAACTACTGATTTCACAAAACATGCATTTTTCAGAAATTATATTTAAAAAAAAAACAATATTATAATTTTTCTCTTTTATCATCACCAATAAATTCATTTTATTATATATATATATAGTTTTTTTTGTTTGTTTCATTTTATTGATATTATTAAAAGGTGTGCCATCTTAACTACTGACTTCACAAAACATGCATTTCTTAGAAATTATTAAAAAAGTTACACAATATAATCTTTCTCTTTTATCACCACTAATAAATTCATTTTATCATTTTATATATATATATATATATATATATATATATATATATATATATATATATATATATATATATATATATATATATATACACACACACACACATATATATATATATATATATATATATATATATATATATATATATATATATATATATATATATGAAAAAAATCTGTCATGTTTAATAAAAAAAATAAAGAATAGCAGACGAGAGAAAGGAAGAAAAATAAAACAAAACAATTAACAATTCTCCAAAATACTGCCATGTTCTTCAACATCATGTATTTCTCTAATACAATCGCTTCTAACAAAAACTAAACAAACAGAACTTTAAATCAATGTATGAATATCAATTAGGGATGGGCATTTTTCAAAAATAATGCATTCGAATATTCGGGCTCATAGAAATCGAATATTCGATTAGCCTATTTAAATGACATTTAACGAAAACGACGTTATTTCTTAAGTACATTTTTCAAAAAGTTTTTGTCACCATTTCTTAACAAGCTTACGATTAGGCAATACACAACAAGCTTACAATATATGTTAAAGTTTTCTTTTAGTTGAAAACATTAAACAGTTGGCCTATGTGTAAACAAAATATAAATAACAAAAGGATTTAAGCTCAAGCAGCGCGAGCGGGAAAAAAACGCCTAATAAAGTAGACTGCGCCAGATATCGAACAGAACGTACACACACACTCGAGTCAGCATGATTATCGTGTATATTGTTTCACGTTTATGTTGAGAAAAACAATAATGTCCACATGCAGGGGCGCCGCCAGCAATTTATGCTCGAGTGAGAAAACGCGCTGCACTGACAGACGATTCAGAGACACAAACGGTCACGGTGTTCTAAGTTTCTAACAGCAATTTGCGTTTTCTGTTCTTAAACCTGTCTCTCTTAATGAAACTTAAGGGAAGTATGTCTAAAAAAATCATTTTGCTATTAGATAAGTTATCATCTCTCGGATCACGCGCGCTACAGCTGCGCTTACCTGCAGTCGTAGTGATGGACAGCTGTCTTTCCTCAGTCGCCTGCTGTTTGGATTTCATGTGATTTCTCATTGTGTTGATGATATTATAACTCAGATTAATTAATTCATTTGATCAAAAGTAATTCCCTTCTGTAAGATCATTTAGTAACATAATTTTCAACTAGTAGTCTAATTCCAAACTTCGCGAGGCAGACGACGACGACATTATGTGATCAAATACAAACAACTTGTTAAACACGCACCACAGCGCCACCCAGAGGATTTAGTTATAACTGCGAGTTAGTGCTTGGGATTTATCAGGGATTCACTGCATTTACGGCCAGCAAAGCATTTAGGCTACGGCTTCATAAATTCGATAAAATTCGAATAGTATTTTATTTTTCGAATAATAATTACAGATCGAATATTCGAAAATTTGAATATTCGTGCACATCCCTAATATCAATTAAATGTTAATAAAGCAGAAAAAAATAGCAAGTTGTTCGATATGCTTCATCTCATTTGACCGTCTTAGGGAAAAAAGCGGCGAGACCGAGCCGGAGGAGCAGAAGAGAGAACGTAGGCTGGGAGGACGACAGACAGCTGGTGTGTGGGAGACAGCGCACTTAAACACAGAGATGCAAAGATATGAAAATAGACTGAAACGCAGAGCGAGCAGAATCTCATTATCTCCTGCCGTCTACACCGAATCATTACTTGAGTGTTTCCAGCACCATACATGGCTGAGAAAGCTGACTCACACACACTCACTCTCAGAGAGAAGTGCTGCCGTATCAAATTCCACAGCGCTAAACGGAGGAGCAACATTTCTGCAAAACTCACGGCCTGCCGTCTTCAACCTGAACCCCGATGGACTGGAACCTGGTCGTGGGAGTATGCTCCTCTTTCAGAACCGGCTGCACACAATCCACCTGCGGAAAAAACAACACTCATCTGAAACGCATCCAACAAATCTAATGCTAAACAATAGTTATGATACAACTCAAATCTCCTCATATAATAAGTGCAACGCATAGCTAAAGGCCCTTGCACAGAGTCCGAAATTTCCGCACGTTAAAAAATAAATACGACTTCGCGTTATGTCAATCACGCTTGCACACTGCCTCCCACGTGACCAAGTGATCTGAGGGCGCGGGCGCGTCGGTCTGAGCAAGCGCCGGAAGTGATCTCGCTGAAAGAAATTCAACGTTGTCTGTTGATATATCGAAATCGTCTTCCATTGCGATTTCCTGTATATCTAAATTAGATCTTTACAGTGAAAGGTAACACTTCCGAAATCTTTGTGTAAACAATGAGTGACGTACACGCGCGAGAGATCACTTGGACGTGGCTGTGGTCACAAGAGGTAAAAACGATATAAATACTGTTCGTTTTCTCACACAAACCGCTCGTTTCGTGTCTTAGGCCATCAATGTGTACTTACATTTACGAGTCATTAAATCATGTTTAATTTGGACTTCTCTGTGCATGCTCTTTGAGGTGGTGACCATAGACCTGCATTATATGACTGACAGACAAGAACGGTTTGACCTAAAAATATCAAAATTGAAACTACTGCGGAAACAAAGACACCTACATCTTGGATGCCCTTGAGGTAAGCTAAAACATACCAAAAATTAATATCAAAGAGAACTATCCCTTTAACAGCTCATTTGATGCAAAGCAGGATTTTTCCCGCTCCTCTGAAATAAAGCAATGCATTATGTGACGTACTTAACATTTATAAACAAAACCTCCCTCGCTAGTTTCCCCCAGAGCATTGAATGAATTTCATTAGTCATGGTATGTCACATCCATGAGCTCATTAACATATGACTGCGCACATTTACATATCAGAGCCAACTCTGCATTCAACAAATTAGCCTGTCCCGATCAATGACCGCATGAACTGTACGCATGACATCATAAGATGATTTTACATGCTTTATAACAAAAAAAACAGACAGTATCTAGACTATAACTTTCTAAAACATTTTCATTAAAAAAATTATATACCAATAAAATTGTTCCTAATCATGACTATGCATTTATTATATCAAAATATCATTATATATTATAATGCATATTAATATTATAGTAAAAAACAATTGTTTAGAATTGTATAATACTATAAAATTTTACACGACCAATAAAATGTATTGTTTACCATTTTTATTCTATATCAATGGTTTAATATAAAATAAAATGATTTAATATAATAATAAAAGGGTAAAGCATTGAGGGCCAAATGATAAAAAAGAAAACACAAAATAATACTAAAACTGATGATTTGCTTTTGTTCCTCTTTAGTTGCTTTGGATAGGTGTTTTCTTAATGCATAAAAGTAACATTATATTGCACAACAGATATTTATCAATTTGTTTGGTGATTTAATAATGAAAAAAAAATTATGTTTATTCACCATTTAATGATGTATTTATTGATTTTCTTTAAATATTTAATAAATATCTTAAATGTCCCTACACAGTATAGAAGGGCATTTCTTTTATCACAATAATAAATTGTAAAATCCTAAATATCTAAAAATGTACAGTAGCAAAATCAGCTTTTTTAATATCTAAAACTGTGCCCACAATGACAACCAGAAGTTGCTTCGAGCCCAAATGAGCGACTACAGGAGACGCACCAAATCTGAGCAGACTTCAAGCTTATATGCAAATGAGCAGCGACTACCAATGGAAGTGACGTCACATGACCGGATACCAAATCTGCGATCAAAAAGCATACATCATGACAACATTATGCAGACAGCTCAAACATATTTATGCACGCACCTGAATACCAATCGATGAGAGTTTCCTCTTGGGCGGAGCCTGCAGTTCTTCAGGTGCCAGCGTGAGACTCACAGGCTCGTTTCTGGCGTCCGGGGCGGGCGGGGGCGGGACTATGGCGGGAGGGGGCGTGGTCACTCTCGCACTGGGCAGATGGACGGGTTCCCGCGGGGCAGGGATGGGCGGCCGCTTGGCGCTCTTGGCCAAACTCCCAGTCCGAGAGCTGGCGAGGCTGTCGGAGGAGTTGCTGCGTCCTGATTGGCTGTTGACGTCGCTGCGCTGGTCCTGGCTGTCCAGGTACGTGTCCTGGGCGGATTCGGTGCTGCTCTGGACCGTAACCGAGATGTAGGGCTTGGAGGTGGTGCGTGGAGGAATAGGAGGAGGAGCCTTCTTACAAACAGCCGTACACGTGGAGACTAAAAAAAGACAGGAAGATGGACCGTCAAGAATGAGTTTACTTCAGTACCAAGTCGATACTTAAAGAGGACCTATTTACATTTTCGACTTTATAGGCCTAATGTATTAACTTTTCCTTTTTTGGTGATGTCTGTGATTGTTTTTGATTGCATTGTGATATGTCGATAATTTAACATGTTATGTGTTATGTACGCATCTACGGTGGAAACAAATTTCCTCTCGAGGAGAAAAACTATCTATCTAGGGTGTAACGGTTCACAAAATTCACGGTTCGATACGATACACTTGTGTCACGGTTCGGTACAGCAAAAAGAAAGAAATGGCAGAGAAATTTCTTTGATTTAATTTTTTTCATTAAATTTTAAATAAAACTAACATCATAAAGTATGATATTTTATTAGTTTGAGCAATGATGGAGCTATACTTGACTTTTCTTAGGAGTATATAAAACAAAACAGCTCCTTGGACAAAATGAAATGTAATATTGTAGTAGTTATAAACAAAGGTTTATTTTAGTTCAGATTAACATTTGAGGGCAGCAATTGTATTCATAATGTCGAAATAAAACCGACGTGATGTTACTTGAAAGCATTATAGCCGACTATTCCTGCCACACTCCCATGGTTACAGTCAGTAGTGTTACTCCAGTAAACCCATGGTGAATGTTGCTGATCTGTGGACACTGGATAGTTCATTCATGGCACAATGTTTCTCCTGGTTTCCACGTCAGCGCTGTTTGATCCGTTAATAACGGAGAAATGTGAATGTTTCTCACTAGATCTCGCATCGATGTTATTACTTCAGTGGCGAATTCAAATGCTTTCTTTACTGGATTTGACTGTGTAGTGACAGTGCTGATGATTAAGATCGGCTCGCGCTGCATTGGTCCAAACTGATAAACGGTCCGTCAAACACACAATAACGAGTGGTTTCGTTCCGCTTACATTACATTTGCCATTTGGCACTGTTGTGGTCAAGCCAGCGTCTCTTACATTATAAGCGCGCTTGCGACGAATATTTGGTCGGCAGGAAAAATGGTCCAAAAATGGTCTGAATTTTTGGTGCGTCAAGATGCATGTCTCGCATGTCTTGACACACCAAAAATTCAAATGCGTGGTTTTTCGCATTCAAATGTGCCGTGTTTTTTTTATTTGACGAATATTTGAAATTTGAATTTTTATTTGACAGCCCTTAGTTAGTTGACATGATGTAAGCGTGTTTTCTCCAGTTACTGATGCACTTACAGTTTTATGCACCATTGTAACCTAATTTTCCTTGCATGCACATTCAGGAAATTATATTTTATTTAAAGGTATAGCGGAGGATTTTCTTTTTCCGGGTGGGTAGCCAATACTATTGGTCCACCTAAGTGTCAATCATTCTGGTGATGTGTTTACGTAAGGCTGTCGTACGTGCTCGTCCCTATGTAGTTTTCGCTTTCTGCGCATGCGCACTTTCAGGTGTATTATGTGTGATGAGTTACGGTTTCAGCCATTCCTCTGAAAATGGCTGAGGGTCGAAAGAGAAAAAATGTATACGAAGTGTATGATAAGAAGAGAAAGGCCGCAGAATATAGAAACAAGACCAGAGTGATTTTGGGTGAATATTTCACACGCTGGCGTGCGCTAAAAGCACAGGTTGGGCTTCCCACTGATGCCGCAGTCGCGAAGATTCTACTAGACAGGTATGACAAGTTTGTCATGCTATTTGGAGAAATCCATTTAAAATCACTGCTAGTAAAAGTTTAATAGGCGTTCCCTCTCGGGAGCAAATAGAGTGTTGCGCATGTGCATTTTTAAAAAAATTGGAGAGGGCGGGTCTTCTCTAAAATTCGGAAAGATCCTCCGCTATACCTTTAAGAACGATTGTTTTAAAAGTTAATGCACTTTAAAAAGTGAATGCCATTTCATTTCAATAAAAGATAAGATGTTTGATTTGGTTTATATTTGCTTATTGCGCTCTCTTGCGAGCATAGGACACAATTTTGCTAATATTTAAGAAAGAAATTCGAATTTAGCTTTTCAGCCATTTTGACAGCCCTAGTTCTCACTAGTGTTTACCTCAGTACCAAGTCGATACTTAAAGAGGACCTTTTTACATTTTCGACTTTTCAATGTCTTTTAAACAGCATTAATAATTAACTAGTCACATTTATTTTAAAAAAAATTTAAAGAACTATTAAACTAATATAGTTACAATGCAAAAAAATAGGTGCAGTGAGCTGAAGTTTTACTGGTATTGGCACAGACTACTGACATTTTTTAGTCAAATTCTCACCAACCCAGAAACAACCAATACAAAGTGTCTTCAGAATGTCACACGTTTTTTTTCTCCCAACAGCCTCTGCTCTTGGGGGCAACAGGAAGAGATGAGACAAAGACAGGCATTTACATACTGGAATCTCGACAGCATTCCTCTCATGCCGGCCGATGGCAGACCGCGTCAGGAATGTGTTGGCTTGCGCCCACAAACCATGGCCTACAATCTGCTGACGAGACTCCAGGTTTCGCACGCCGTGTCATGAACCCTGATGATAACGCTTAACGCCGTATTATTAGCCTGCTGAACAGTGTAGGAGAAGCTGCTCAAGATAGTGGGCGGCATGACCATAATCATACGGTATGACTCATTTTATATCACCATTATGAGTCATTTTATATATCACCATACGGTTACTTTTGCAGGAAGTTCAACCCCAAAATGTTTTATATATTATGAAATGAAATGTTGTGATGTCTGTTTGATAATCTAGTGGCCTAATTGCTTAAAAATATGGAAATTCATTAATCAAATTTGTGTAGGCCCATGCAAACCAACAGATTATGGTTAAGAAATGAATGGCAAGAAAGATATCAGTGCACAAACAGCTTCACATTATGAAACACAAACAAGAAAACCATGAATAGGCTACATCACAAATATGACTGGATGAGACGTATTTGATGCCACTGTAAAAAGTCTGGCGTATAACTGGAACTATGCCTTAAACTAGATTGAAGCTTAAAAGGACGATATCTGATAAATAATTATCAGATTATTCTAAATTACATTAATAATAATTAAAAAATATATTTATGATGGCAAAAAAACAATAAGGAAGGATCTAGGAATTAGTGTGATAGCATTAAACACAAATCAGCACAAAATATAAATGTATAAAACATAATCAGAAATGTTTCTTGAGCAGCAAATCATCAAATCAGAGTGATTTCTGAAGGATCATGTGACTCTGAAGACTGGAGTAATGATGCTGAAAATTCAGCTTTGATCACAGGAATAAATTACATTTGACATTTTATTCAAATAGAAAACAGGTCTTTTAATTTGTAATATTTCACAATATTACTGTATTTTTGAACAAATAAATGAGTGCTTGGTGAGCAGAAGAGACTTTCAAAAACAAACAAAAAAATCTTACCAACCCCAAACTTTTGACCGGTATATACACTTTTTTTAAACATTTTTTTTCCAAAGCAAAAAATTAACTCTCTCAATAAAACAAAATATAACTAAAATCACTGAACTGGAAAATGTAGATTAGTGTACAATGTTTTATAATAATAATAATAATTCTATTTAGTGTCCATTTCATTCATTTAACATATTTAATATAGGGGGCATCCAAGTTATTTGACATATTTGAACAATTTATTAAAATGTAACGCAATAGTTACTTTTCCTGGTAATTAGTTACTTTTATAATGATGTAACTCAGTTACTATTTGTGAGAGTAACTAGTAACTATTAGGGGTGTAACGGTACACAAAAATCACGGTTCGGTACGTACCTCGGTTTTAAAGTCACGGTTCGGTACGTTTTCGATACAGCAAAAAGTAAGAAATGCCAGAGAAATTTCCTATTTGTTAAAAGAAAAAATATTTTTTAAATAAGTGAGTTTTCCTACATCTTGGAACTTTCAGGGTTTATAAATGGGGGTCATCTTTGAAGGATGAACAAATAATGTTTTGGTAATCACATTAAAAATAACATTTAAATATATGAAGAGTTTAGATGCAAAAGCCATTTGAAATTTTCTTAGAATGATCATTTTTATCAAGCTTGTATATTTAAGTTCAGTAATTTCACTTAAATGGCAATGAAGATTGCCTATTAATTGTCATTTGAGTGAAATTACTGAACTTAAATGTACAAGCTTCATAAAAATGATCATTCTAATTTCTAGAAGAAAATTTCAAATGGCACTTATATAGAGGCTTTTGCATCTGAACTCTTCATATAGGCTATTTATTTATATAATATTTGAGTTTTGAAGTGCTGGAAAAACATGTGTGAAGTACTTGAAAGCATTTCACTATTCCAGCCAAACTGGTTACAGTTAGTGTTACTAACGGTTGTAACAGTGTCGCTTGATCGAGATCGGCTCGCGCTGCACAGATGTTGCTGCTCTGCTCCGAACTGATAAACGATCCGTGAAGCACATGAGTAGCGCAGTTTCGTTCCGGTTTCATTACGCTTTCCATTTGATGTTGCGCAATGTTGTGGTGATTGCGCCAGCGCGAATTTTGTCGGCAGGAAAAATGGTCCAAGGAATCGTTCGGTTTGTATGCGTACCGAACCGGAAGCCTCGAACCGAAACGGTTCAATACGAATACATGTACCGTTACACCCCTAGTAACTATAACTAATTACTTTTTTTAAGTCACATGCCCAACACTGGTCATATATCAAACACTCAAGAGAGTAGTCATGAAATGTAATATTTGTGTTATGTCAATCAATAGTGAAGAACATTTTTGGGTATAAAATAGGACTGTTTTGCGACAGGCACAATGAGTCGTGTTACTGAACAATCAGGGCTAATATCTGTCAGTTGCTGAACAATTCTCCTCTATCTTGTGCTATAGAGGACAAGCCCAATGCGGGGACTGTGTGGAGCTCAGACAATATTGGATAAATCTGTTTCCTCTCTCTAGCACAGATGACTGGCATTGTCCAGTGTGTGTTGTGCTCGCCGTCTGGTGCCAGGACAGACGCCACA